CCTCCTCTCGAGCTACTCAGATTCAAAAGACAAAGCTCTTCTCCAGAAGTCCCCTTTCCTTGAATTCTTTTCACATTTTCTTAGATTTTGGCATTTCCTGTTTTGAGACTTAAACATCACAATCACAAGTAACTTCTTTCACACATGGTGAGTCTTGCTGGCTCAGGGCCAGAAATAAGCGCTCAAACCTGGTTACACAAAAGCAGCAGGTTAGGTCAAACATTTGCTATCAGTATAAAACATGCATTTTGATTGTGCCAGTATTATAGTATCCGATGCTACTTTTTTTGGTTACAAAACACGTTTGAGGGTGGAGTGGGATCTTGTCCAACTCCAAGTACTATGTTATCTTCATTGCTAGAGGGAGATGAAACAAGTTAGCTGCCCCCGGATCCAGCAGCCTTTCAAAAGGGCTCACCTTTTGATAACCAGCCCCCTTCTCTATTCAAAGGACACACAATTCTTACCACATGGCTGTGGGTCAGCCGCACTCAGCAGAATCGTTTGTTTTAGTGGATAGGCTCCCCATTCCCATCTCTCTTCCTGCTCTTATTAGTTATGTCAGCATTCCTCCACATACTCGGTAAAATCTTAAGGCACCTGACATCCGTTAGCGCATAACTGAGCAAACTTTTTATCCTCAAGGACCTCTTTCTCAAACACCAGAACTCAAGCGTTTATTCAGTTACTCTCACAAGTTTTCTCTGTTCACTATCTAGAATTTTTCTTGTCTGTCTCCCTGACTAAAACTTTAATTTCCTGAGAGCAGGGACTTACCTGTTTGTTATCCCAGGTGTTATCTTCTAGTATTTAAAAGAGTGCTTATCACAGAATGTGTACTTTAGGAATGTTTGTTGAAATTTTTTTTTTGGTACGGGGGATCAAACTTGGGACCTTGTGCTTTTGAGGCAGTTGGCGGAACCACTGAGCTAAATTGCTGGCCTGTTGAAATATTTTAAGATTAAATTACTGCTTTTTCAAAGTGACTTTTTGTATTTAAATTCTAATTAAGACAGTAGACTCAAGGCAAAAGGAGTGTGATTATTACAAGGAAATGAGAAATATTTAAGTGCCTGACTTGTAAACACTCAAGTTGTAAATTTTCAGATACAAACGAACCACCTCGCAGTAGGAACATTCATAGATGTGAACAAATCACAGAAGTAGCTCACGTGTCTGCTGGCCATTGTCACAGCTGTGCTGCTGGGTGCTTACTGTACAGTGCTCAGTCAGAGCCCAGATGTCCTGCAGGAGGAAAAACAGTGGTGATGTAGAGGTGACTGCCGGGAAGTGCAAAGCAATGTACATTGTACATTTGTGTCAAAGGTGTATGAGTCTCGTTTTGTCGGACTTACAAATGAATTTAACTTACGGATGTTCTCTAGGAACAGAACTTGTTTGTAAGTCAGGGACTTCAATACAAAAAAGAGGAATGAAGCAGAGATGGAGACTTATGTTAAGTGCTGGAGAGGGAGAAATGATTCAAGCAGACAGCTTTATACATTGGCATCTTTTTCTCTTAAAAGTAGTTACTGACCAATCTTTTCTACCTTCTTTCAGACTAGGTTCTGCCTTAAAGGACTGCCATAGTAAGATGCCAGAGAGGGGACGGGTGCTGTATTCTTCTGGAGATTTAGGTGGGCAAGAGGTTGGTTCTCTATCTTGAAAAAGTGCAGATTCAACAACTAATCAGTTTTGCATTGCCAAAGAAGCCCTTCCCAGCCCAATACATCTTCCTACCCAGCTTTACGTGTGCAGCATCTGCACTAGAAGTGTAGCACAAACAGGGAAGAAACAGGCATGAAAGAAGGACTAGGAAGCTCGGTCCTGGAAAACCAAAGAGAGAAAAAACTCGTTGGCTCATCATTTCAGGGCTGTGAAGTGTGGCAAGGAAACCGAACTACCCCTCTAATTGGCAGGGAATATTGCCCAGTCCTATTGAGGTTGGGCGTGGCCATGTGACTTGCAGATGTGATGCACACAGGTGCAAACCCTGTGTGTGGTGTGAGCAGGCTTGCCTTTCCGCGCTCCCACCAGGACAGGGAGCACTTCTGTACCCCTTTTGTATTTCAGCCAGGTCCAAGGATGAGCAGATGGAGCACACCTGGTAATGGGTGGCAGAGTCTCACTGAAACCCAGCTTGAAGCAGTCACTCAGCTAGCCTGTCAGCCAACCTGCAAAAGCATGGTATGAATGATTATTTTAAGCAACTGAGATGTGAGGTGGTTAGACAGCAGTAACAGCGGAAATGTTAGGTAGATGTGTCTTTTAGGCTGTGCTCTGGGACATAGCAGGTGTTTCATAAACAGCTATTGTGGTCAGATTTGTCTTTCTTCTGAAAATGGTGCCCTAAGATAATATAACAAAAGTCAACTTACGTAATTTAGTAGTCGTCTTTGTTCCAACTTATAAAATTTGCTAATTTCAACAAGGACTAGAAAGCATGTTAGAAATCATCGGGGGTTGAGTGCAGACCATGGAAATGACTGCCTGGATTTGAATCTAGGCCTCACAAATTACCAGCCAAGTGACCTTTGGCAAGTTACTTCATCTCTTTTCCCATCTAAGTGGTGCTATTAATAGTATCTACTTCATAGGAGAGATGTGTGGATTAAGAGATAATGTATTTCAAGCAATACAAACTTTTGTGGGATATGATAAATGCAGTATAAGCATTTTCTATTATTACAGTAAGTCCCTGACTTAGGAACATTTGAGTTGCAAACTTTCACAGGTGTACCGTCTAAGACTCATTTTGTCAGCTCATGAAAGAATCCTTACAATTCTCCTGGAATGGAACTTGCTACGTTGGGGACTTACTATACCTGCACAGAAATGGTTTTAAGAGATTAAAGCTCTCTTTACCTGCCCCTCCAATCACTGATTTGTTTTCTTCTGTTATTTCATCTCTGCACATATTTAAAATCAGATCTTTAGGGGATGGGGATTTAGCTCAGTGGTTCTGCTGCCTGCCTTGCAAGCACAAGGTGCTGAGTTTGATCCCCCATACCCACCCCCCCATCAGATCTTTTGTATGTTTTCATTTTTCTATGCTCAGGAAAGCTAAATGCTGATATGTACTCTATCCCAAACTGTCCCATCAGCCATTTTAAGAACTCCTGGTCTTGTTGTCTAGGACACCATTTATGTCCCCCACTACAGGATCAAATGGCATTGGTTTTTCAGTTTCCAGCCTCAGTGCCACTTCTTCCATGAGGTTATTCTGATCTTTTATTACTTTCTTCTTTATACCTTTACATGATGAGCTTGTAAGCTCTTAAAGGGTAGCACCATAATTTCTAGGTTTTCTGCTCATTTCCACTCCCAAATATGGAGCAAGTAAACAATATTTGTTGAATGTTTATCTAAAGTCTAAAAACAGCTTTATTGAAAAGTCATTAGATTTCTAAAGAAAGATTAAAGGAGTATAGTGTAACATGCCTGTAATCCCAGCACTTGGGAGGCTGAGGCAGGAAGACTGCCATGAGTTCGAGGCCAGCGTGGGCTGTACAGTGAGTTCAAGGTCAGCCTGAGTTTATATAGGGTGACCCTGTCTCCAAAACAAACACCCGAGTTTGATCCCCGGTACCCCCCTCAAAAAAAAACCCAAAAAGAAAGATAAAAATGCGTCATAATTGAACAATGAATGAAGACACTAGGAAGTGAAAGTTGTTTACATACAAAAGACACGATTTATTGTATTAAAAAACTTTATTTCATTTAAAAGGTCCAATATAAGCCAAATTAAATTCCCAAATTTACAGCTACATTTAGAGATTTTCCTGAACTAAATGGCACTGTTTGAGTTGAATGTCCTATTAAAGGAGGTCTTTACTGTTATCACCATTTATTTCCCCAAAGTTGTTTGTGAGCAGAAACTGGTATTATAATACACAGAATCAGAAATTTCGGATGTTACCTTTCACGGAGAAGTTAAAGAAAGTAAACCAGCCTTTCTGCTCTGTGTGAGGATGAAAAACACCACAGAACAGAGCCTGGGCACCTGACACACAAGGTGTAACTATAAAGAAGCTTTCAGGGGCGCTGTGTCCACTCACTAAAGTGGTCCCTGTACTTACTGCAGATACTGGTGTCGTGCACATGCTATCTGGGACAGCACTTGGGAGGTCCCCTCACCAGGTGCACACCAAAAGAAGTGGCTGGTCAAGCTGGGGGGCAGACGGTCACACACGCAACCACAAAGCAATGGAACAGTTTTTTTAGCGCACTAGCAATTGCAAGGACCACTTCACAAATGTTTCTAGTAACAGCACCATTTACACAAAGTGATACAGGATCTAAGTTCTGCCATGTGTGATGGTACACTAAAAAGAGCTAGTTACTTTATAACTACACCTTGGGTTTCATTAGATGTGATAAATCTAACAGGGCATCTAATGAGTCCTTCTGAAAAATCCCTTCAGCAAAGGAGTCAAACAGCCTGTGAAAGAGGCGACATGGCAGAGGGCTGGAGATTCATCTTTCCAACGTTCTCTCAGAGCACAGACCTAGTTGGCCCCAAGGACAGAAGTTACCAGAAGGGAGGCTTCAACTCCATCTAAGGAAGACCTTTCTAACAGAGCTGCTCAACAACTGAATGGACTGCTTGGTGAGGTAGAGTCACTGGAAGTATTCAAGGTGGAAAGATCACCCTTGTAGAAGGGACTCCTGCATTGGTTAAGAGGTTAGACTTGGATGAACCTCAGGGCTCTTTCAATTCTGAGATTCTAGAAAATTCCCTCAGGGAATTCAGAAGAGAATTCCTAAAAGGAAAGAGAAAGCACACATATGTATACTTTTAGAATCCTCTTGAGTTTACTTTTTTTCAAAAGACACAATAGAAAATGTATAGTCTACTGTCTTTAAAATGCATATTTACCTTCCTACCACTCATAATGAGGAAGGGTTTATTATGATTTCTTTATATTATAAAGAAAAGATGGAGGATTATATTTATAATTTTTGTAAATATTTTAGAAAAAATGCTTAAAATCTAGTAGTCAATGCCCTAGAAACTTTATAGATTTTTTTAGATATTATGCACAGATACAAATACATTATTCATTAAATACAACTCACATCTGTATTTTATTATACTCTAAAATATACAGGAATCTTGATGTACTGAAAGAGTGCAAGTAAATACAGTATTCAAGCAGTCACTATTCCTATGTACATGCTCATTAATTCTTCAAAAACCCCACAAAATTATCAAATAGATCAAAATACTGTTCTGTGTTTTCACACTTTATATTCAGAAAAACCAGCTGATAATTTACAATGTCATAAAGTTTCCAGTTTCACAATACAAAAAGGATAAAATTAAATCGGGTATTTTGTTGCAATTTGTGGAATTTTACTTAGACCTTTAAAACCCTCTACATAGGTAAAAACTGGGAAAGTGACAGTTACAGTAAAAGCAGAATGACTTAAAGTGTATTTAAAAGCCTAAATGTCAGCCTTTTCTGTTTGTTACTTGAAAGGCAGTCTTCAATTTGGCAGGCAACAGCTTCTCCCTCCAAATAGTAACAAGTTACAAACGTGCTACTCTTAATCTGAATAGGACCTCAAGGCTTTTGTATTTTAAATCTTGCCCAATATAGAAATGCCTTCCAAGAGATTTGATAATGTTATAACAGGGGATTTTTTCCTTTTTATTCTTCACTTTTCAAAACTCAGATAAAAAAAATGACAACAAAAATCCCCAACCCATTGTAGAGGCACACAAATTAACCTAAGTGAACAAAGGTGTATCATCCAGAGTAGCGAGGTTGAAAATTCCGTTCCCTAGGACCACTTAATTGCAATAGGGTGAAATAATCTACTTTTTGATTTCATGAACTTTTTCTGGGAAATTCTTTACCTTCTTAAACAAAAATAGTTCAATTTTATACCCAAATCATTCAAAACTGGGCGACAGCCATACCCTCAATCCATTTCATGTCTATGTCACAAGGATTTTCACCCATACTGCATCCAGTCAGCTGGTTTTTGATCCTAATATTATAAAAATTGGAATTCTAAAATTTTTATGTAAAAGAAAAAATGCAAAAATACATCTGCTTTCTTTCATGGTTTAATACAGTATTGGAAGGCTTTCAGATGTTTACTCTTAAAAAATCAACATTTAAAACAAAATCTCGGCTTCATTTTCAGAAATATTGAAGTTTGGTTTAGATAATGTCTCATTTCACCTACTCCAGTTTCCACAAAATGTCATTCATTAGAAAATCTTTAAGTCATTTGGTCCTTTGGCAATTTGCTGTGCACATAATGCCTACTGTACCACACTTTTATTGCCATTAAATTTAGTTGTAATTTTACCGATAAAATTTAAATCTAGTGTTATCTCTTCTTTTACAATAGTGTTGCTTATGTAAGGAGGTTAGGGTGCACAGTGTCCCCAGTTATTTCTGGCATTGCAAGGCCAAATTAAAGAATTCCACAAAGCACTTTGACATCAATGTATTTTCCTCTGGTCAAGTCTATTTCAAGATTCTAGAAGTTCCTTTTGCAAAACTTGCCTTTAAAATTCTTCTTCCTAATGTTATTACATTTCTTACATTTCGTTCACTGCGATCTTTCCTCTTAGGTTGAATTTGTATGTGAACAAGAAAGTGCTTTTTTCCTGAAAAAGCACAGTTTGAAGCTTCAGTGTCAGAACTTCTCCCCCAGACCTTTGGCTCAGCCTCTCAATAGGTCTCAGAATCGGAGTCGTTGAGTTCGTCCACGTCTGTGTATAAGTACTCTTGTTCTCCACCAATATTGTTAAAACTGCAATAGGAGCTAGGTTCGTTTCTCATGATGGGCAAGGCTTCAAAGCTGACTGTTTTTGAGGTGTTGGTATAACGGTTAATGGCATTGAATGTCAAGGATGATAAAGGACTACTTGATGAGACAGGCATCATGGTAGCCAAAATGAGAGCCAGACAATCAGCAACATCCTTATTGGGAGCACATGCCAAAGCTGGGGTATAGCCTAGAATTAGAGATAAAATTTAGAAATTAACATTCTCAGACTTAACTTCCCTAAATATAAGTAAATAAGCTTAAAGGCCTTCGGCTTTAGACGTGTTTTAAATTATTTGGCTTACAAAAGATTGTTTTAACCAGAATGATTCACAGTTTTCCAATAAGTAGAAAAAGACAAAAACACCAAGTGTGGTGCATACCTGTAATCCTAGCACTTGGAAGGCTGAGACAGGAGGACTGTACAAGCTTGAGGCCTGCTTGGGCTATATAGTGAGTTCAAGGCCAGTCTGAATTACATAGTGAGACCTTGTCTCAAAAAACAAAACCAAACCATAGAAAGCGAGGGTGGGAGGAGACTGTATAGAGTAAACAACAGAAGAAACTGAGGCCCAGAGATGGCTGATTTCCCAAAGATTTTACAACTTATCCACATCCAACTGAACTCAAAATGTCTTAAAATCTTACTCTATAGCTTCATCTGTTATTGCAAATCTAGATACTTCTTTCTAGATACACCTACATTTTAGCCTTCACACACATATATGTATATATTTATTTTAAAAGGCACATTTGTTTTTGAAATAACAAGATGACTTAGTATAAAACAACATTTGTATAACCACCATCCAGGTTAAGAAAGAGAACGATACCAGCATACAAGAAGTTCCATGGATTCCCTTACCCAATCACTACCTTTTCCCTCCTTCCACAATGGTAACCACTACTTTGATCTTCTGTGTAAACCACTTCCTTGTTACTTGTGTTCAAAAACTAAAGTTTTGAATCTAACATAGATTCATGAAGTACATATATTTCTTATCTAGCTTCTTTTGCTTAACATTATGTGTGAGACGCTGTTGTAGGTAACTGAAGTCAGCTCACTTTCAGTTATATATTTCACTAATTATGCCAGTTATACATTTTACCTACTAGACATTTAGCTCTGTCCAATTCTCTCTATACTTTCTTTATCAAGGGTAGTATAACATGTCTGAAAGTATGTATTTTCCATTTATAAAATTCTCATTTTACCAAAGGGAGCAACTACCTGATTACCCTATAATGCAATACGTATAGGTACCATATATTTATAGGTATTTGTTATGTAGCATAAACATGTACTAATAAACATGTACTGTATTAATAAAAAATTTTTGGAAAAAAAAAAGACTCCTTAAAATGACTACAGGAATGTTTCATTGCCCATCACAATTCTTTTAAGGGCTCTTCTGAAGATCTGAAGGTTCTGGCTACTTCAACACCAGATGCCGGTAGACAGAATGACCCATTAGGCTAGGATGCCTTAAATGAGTGGAAATGGGGAGAGAAACATGCCTCAGGGGTGTTTTCCAGTGCAAATACAACTAAAAACAGACTCCTTTCTTCTGCATGGGTTGGTGTGGTTAGCAAGAGAGAAATGCAAGAGGAGCAAACTTCTTTTTTTTTTTGGTACCAGCGATTGAACTCAGGTCCTTGTGCCTGCGCAGCAGGTGGAGAAACCACGGAGCTAAATCCCCGGCCCGAGAAGCAAACTTCTTGAGGATATTCCGTGCAAATACAACAGTCATCTCATCTGAGAAAATCCACCAAAATATCACTAACCCCATTTTTAGTGAATGTAGGATGTACTGGTCCTTCTCATCAACCTCTGTTATTACAGGAGAAATCTGTAACTACGTCACTAGAAATGATTATAAAGTGAGAATGATATTTACTATAGCTTGTCACCTTTGGACCACAATTGCTACTGGACTTTACAAAGTGTGTTAGAAGATACCCAGGTCACCACAGCTGGATCTTATTATCATTTTTTACAGTCCTTTTTATTTTATAAGGATAACATTAGGTATTTAAAATCTCAAAAATGATCAACACAGACTTGCAGTAGCTATTAGTGATAAGCGATTTAAGTGTTTTGTAATGTGGCTAACTATCTTATTAAGTATATGTTATAATTTTTTTTTTGGTACCAGGGATTGAACTCAGGACCTTGTGGTTTTGAGGCAGATGAGGCACCCTGAGCTAAATCCCCAGGCCATACATTATAATTTTAGGTTCCCCATTTTAATCTATATAGCAGCTATATTTCCAGAAATATAATTTACTCATAATGAAAGTTTTGTTTAAAGCTGGCTGAGCCTGAACTTGGCTTCATAGGTGCTATCTCCACATCTACGGATCTCAAGAACTACAAATACTATTGATTCCAGATCTCTAGGTCTAACTTATATCTTGTGATCCATACATCTAAATTGGGGTTTATACTGATGGCCCCAAATGAACTCAGCTCTATCCTCTTGTATTCCTATCTCAATTAATGATACTTCCATCCACACAAGCTCAGCTGGGTAAATGGTATGCGACTTCTTCCAACCACCAAGTCTCATTACTCTTTCCCCAAGCCCCAGTGAGACTACCATCACGAGACCTCTAGAAACCTCCCACGTCTTCTCATCCCCAGTGGCTCTACCTTAATTCTGGGCACTATCTACGTCTCTAACTCTACTCTTTTCCGTCTTGCTCCTCTCCAGACTAATTGCTATCTTTCTAATGGTCAGATCCCTTCTTACTTGATCTAATACAGAACTTGTATTCATCTCATGTTATATCTTCTAATGGCCTACACTTTCAGCCTAGAAGTTCCCTCCTCATTTTCTACCCGTCTTTCAAATTTTGGCTTGGAAATCTCTATTTTGGGATGCTTTCTCTGATCTGTAAGAAAAGGTTTGAACACCTCCTGATAGTATTTTAGGTTTACTTCAATTAAACCACTTCAAGGGCACTGAGACAGCCTGTGAATGCTCTTATCTCCATTTAAGGAGCACACTATTTCTTATTCTATACTACATTCTCAGAACTTAGCACTGTGCTCGGTATATGCATTCATGCAACAAACAATGAGATCCTAATGTGGTCAGGCACTTTACTAAGCATATGGAATATATCAATGAACACAAATAACAAAGATTCTCTACTTTTATGGAGATTACATTCATTTTAATCAACGTACCAAAAAGTAACAATATATGGTGTATTAGAAGTTATGTCTAAGGAAAAAAGAAAGAAAACAGGTTAACAAGGACTGAGTGCTGTGGTGGGGGAATGCAGCAAGTTGTAGTGCAAATAAGGTAATCTAGATAGGCTTCAGGAGATAAAATCTGAGGTAGTATTTTTTTTGTTTTGTTTTGTTTTTTTGGTACCAGGGATCAAACTTGGGTCCTTGTGCTTGTGAGGCAGGTGGCAGAACCACTGAGCTAAATCCCTGGCCCAATTTGAGGTAATATTTGAAACAGGTGAAGGATTTAGTCTTAAAATGCTTGGGGGTCAGTGTTCCACCCAGAGAAAGCCAAAACAAAGATGGTGATGAATGTGCACCCCTGTAACAGAGGAGCTGTTGTGGCAGAATGAAGCAAGAGAAAGACAGTATGAGATCAGGAAAGTAACAGGGTAGAGGATCTTATAGGTCACTGTAAGAACTATTAGTAAACTCAGATTCAGAGGTGAAACATGTTCTTACATATTTAAAAAGGATCTACCGGAGTTGTAGCAGAAGAGAAAGAAGTATGCAGATTCAGAATATACTTCAGAGGTAGAATCAACAGTATATATTGATGACATATACAGTGGGTATGAGAAAGCAACAGCAAGGAAAAACTCTTAAATCCTTGCCATGAACAATAAAAAGAGAACTATCTTCTAATGGAATCAGGATGGCTGTGATGAGAGTAGGTTTGGTGGGGGAAAGGAAGAAAGGACTGACAGTTCAGTTCTGGACATGTTAGAGCCAAGCTATTTATCAGACATTCACATGGTATGGTCAAAGGCAGATGGATGTATGAATATAGAATCATGAGAGATTTGGGCCTGCAATATAAATTTGAGAATTCTCAGCATCCAGGTAGTTTTTGTTCTACCTGTATGCTCCAGTTTTTGTTTGAACTAGATGAGATAACCTAGACAGTCAATGTAGACAGAGAAAGCAAAAAGAATCTAGGACTGAGTCCTTGAGCCCTCCAGTAGTAAGAAGTTAGGGAGAGGAAATTTTGTAAAAGCAATTGAGAGAGTGTAACTTGTAATGTAGGAAGAAAATCAATAAGCTATAAGGTCCTGAAAGCCAAATAAAGAAAGTTTACCAAAAGAAAAGGAGTAATCAGTTGTGCCAAAAGCTGATCTGCCAAGTGGAGGTCCACTGGTGATCTGATTAAGAATGGTTTTGCTGTGTGGTGGAGGCAAAGACCTGACTACAGAAGAGCTAATTCTTGAGCAGTCCTGCTGCAATGGGGAACAGAGAGGCAACGTGGAAGTTGGCAACAGTAGTGTGATTAATGTATTTTTTTAAAGATGACAGAACTAGGTGCTGGAAGTGTAGCTCAGAGGTAGAGTGCTTGTGTGAAGTCCTGGGTATATTAGAAGTTATCTCCATGGAAAAAACAAAGAGGAAAGAAAACAGGTAAACAAGGACTGAGATACTGTGGGAGGGGAATGTATAAAATGTGCCAGCATGCGTGAAACCCTGGGTTTGATCCCCTGCACCAAAACAAGATGACAGAACTAATATGTATATACTGAGGAAGAGTAATCTAGGAAGACAATCCCTTGTTTTTACAGGACAACTAAAGGTTATTAATTTTGCATAAGAATGATGCTTAAGTAGGGCCTTAATAAATATCTTGTGAAAGCACAAAACCTTCAGCTACTAAGATGAACAGTGGTGTTAAGTGTAAATAGTGAACACTAACTCTAGCTTACAAGTTCATCTATTAGATGGACTTTTCCTGTTTCTCCAGTCCTCGTTCCTTTGCCACAACATACTACTCAATATTAACTTCAGTTCTCTTCTCTGCCAGTAAAAAATATCCACGTTTCCTTCAAATATGGACCATCAAAGGATAAAAGCTTCTAATGGGATACAGAGTAAGGGAAGAGAATACAGAACCTACTTACCATTTTCATCTACTGCAAGTACACTTGCTCCTTTCCCCAAAAGTTCCTGAACCACCATTGTCAGCCCATTTCGGGCAGCAACATGCAGAGGTCTGGGGGAAAAAAACCATACATGTATATGTATGTGCAGTGCATGTACACAGACACAAACAGCTGGGAAAGAGCATTTTTGCCATGTTGTGAAGACCCAGAAACAAACATGAGACAGTGACTCCTAAGAGCAATGAAAACGTGTGGGAACAGCAGCATCTCCGTGCAATGTTCTCTCAGCACCCCTCACTGTGTATAAACTTAGCCATAGGCCGTACAGGCATATTTCCCACTCTCATCAATCCTGTTACTCTCCTTGTTTAAAAAGATTTAACCAATGAAACTTACTCTTAAGTTGTTTTAAGAAATGAGGTTGGCAAACATATACATAAGAAATGTCAACTGCAGTAACAAATTCTAACAGCCTTTAAAAACATCCTATAGGCTCCATGCCTGAAGTTTGGACCCTCAAGAGACTGACTCCAGAATGTGAATCCTATTCTAAGTTTTCTTCTTCACCAAGTCTAAAGTGCAATAGCAAGTGGGAATTGGGAAAGGATGAAGGGAGACACAGCTGTAAGATCTCAGTCAGCCGGAAGGCTTGAGGCTCATATTAAGAATTTGATTCTTTCTGAAATTTCTACCTTATAGACAGATATAAAAAGCTTCTTGCCTCATTTATTGTTCACATTCAATAATACTTTTACAGTCCATTCCATGAAACACACAGAATAGCAGTTCCACTTTCCTTCAGAATATCATGTGGGTAAATGTGTCACCACTCCCCCATATCAATGTTCTAATAGTTTCTGTTCAAACACATTTTTAGTAATAGGTTTTTTAATTGTGATGATTTCGGCAGTGCTTTCTCAGTTGTAAAAACTGTTCTTTATGCCTTGTTTCTGTGACTAATATGTGATGACTCCATTGATCCCATGTTTTAAAAGATACATTTATCTGTTTTTAAAATTACAGAGAGATCACAAAGTTTACACTAGACACTGAAAGTACTCACGTTTGCAAGGCGGCGTTGGTTGCGTTGATGAGGTTCCTATCTGTTATCTTTTCCAGTATTAACAAGGCACTAGTTTCATGACCCTAAAATTGTGGCAAATTACTCTTAAATTGGGCATCATTAAAAATTTACACATCCAACAATCTCTAACCTTAGTTCATACATATGTACAACACTATACTTATACCATGAATTTTCTTGGCTAATCCCTTAAATATTTGCCTGAAGATGTGAGAAGTGTGAGTAGAGGGAGAGGACAAGAAGAAGCAAGATTTAAAGACAGATAAAAACCGTGTTTAGGTTGCTGTTCCCAAATTTAACAAGCTAGTATTTTGTTTTCCAAGAAAAAACTGATGCCAGTAATCATTAAAAGGACTTGGTCCCTAGCTTTTATTTTAGTGAAGCAGACAAATCTTTAATGCCACTTTGATATCAACAATGCAAATTTGTCCTTATAAAATGTGTACATACCTTGCCACAAGCCAAATGGAGGGCAGTGTTTTTATTGTTATCTTGCAAGGTCAGATCTGCACTAGCACTGCTAACCAGCATCTCTGAGAGGAAAAAGTGCATCAGTTCTTATGTTTATGAACATTTTTCTTAGATTACCAATAACTCACTGTAGAGAAATGAAGACATAAAGCAAAAAGTATCCCTCTTGCAAAAATTCAGCTGCAAGAAAAATACAGTAATACATATCCTATACTGTCATGATTGTATGGTGCAATTACATGCTTGTGTAAATCACAAATACTAACAACAGCAATTAACATTTTGTGAGGGCTTACAAAACTTCAAATACTGTTTTCTGTGCTTTGGATTTACAGTAATTTATTGGACTCCTGTAACAGTTCTACACAGGAGGTGTCATTAGTCTTATTTAATAAATGAAACTAAGGCATAAAGTCACTTAGCTACACTTAGAACTCACAGGCAATCTGACTCCAGTGAGAGCCAGTGTTAAGCATTACATTACACTGCTTTGCTAAAATGAACTCTTTGATCAGTAAGGGCTAATTAAAACACTCTCCCTAAATGAAAATGTAGGTTGCAAAGCAGCAAAGTTTTTTTGGGGGGTTACTGGGGATCGAATTCAGGACCCTACACTTGTGAGGCAGGCATGGTGGCACTGAGCTAAATCCTCGACCCAAGTAAGTTTTTAAATCTCAGGAGTGATAATGAGTGGAGTTCAGAAGCCTTGGGATCTAAGTTATACACAAGCAATATAGGTAACTAGAAGAACAGACTTTAAGCAATTTCTTTACCAACTGTATTTGTCTGTCCATTTTCTGCAGCCATCATGAGCGGTGTTTTCCCAGAAGAGTCTACAGAGTTGACTTGAGCATTATGGCTGAGCAGCAACTGTAAACACTCTACATGGTCTGTGAAGGCAGCTGCATGGAGAGGAGTTCTGTGACAGGGAGAAATTGAAATATTTGGCTGAATTACAGACATCAGCAAAAAGTATTCCTTAATTTAGGACCAGGAATTTTCAAGGGTTTATATATTAGGCTTTAAAAGCAATGCCTGGCTACAAGTAAACTCAATGCTGCATGAATTTGTATTTCCAATAATATAAAGGCCTTCATTAAAGCAGAACTAGTCTAAAATAAAGCTCAATTATACAATTGCTAAAATTACATCATATCAATGAAGAAAATTTGAAAAACATCCCGATTCAACAACTACTACCTATTTCAACTGCTGGACTCTTCTTCTTTGGGCCTTTACTCCTATTTAGAATACTGTTAACTTTTGTTAACAATGATCACTAGATAAAAAGCAGACTTTTTTTTTTTTTGGTACCAGGGATCGAACTCAGGTCCTTGCGCTTGCAGGGCAGGCGGTGGAACCACTGAGCTAAATCCCCTGCCTGCAGACTTTTCTTTTGAGTCAGAGTCTTGCCGTATATTCTAGGTTGGCCTAGACTATGTAGTCTAGACTGGCCTCGAACTTGCAGCGATCCTCCTGGCTCAGCCTCTCGAGTGCGTGCTAGGATTACAGGCATGCGTCACCACACTCGACCGAAACAGACTTTTTAAAATGGGGAAATCTTAGGCTGGGGATTTAGCTCAGTGGCACTATGACTGCCTTGCAAGCACAAGGTCCTGAGTTCAATCCCCAATACCAAAAATAAATAAAATGGGGAAATCTCTAAATTTTGAAATAGTTTATAAAAGAGGAAGACTGGCTAAAAACCAAAAATAAGTACAAAAGCCCTGCAATACAGAAATTTTAAAACAATGATTCATACTTGGAAATATACAATTCAATTTTTCAATTAATTATGGATTCTGTAAATTTTCACACACCAGGCTAGTAGTTGAACTCTTACCTTCCTTTTGAATCTGTGGCATTCACAATGCTGGCACCTAATGTATCAATTAACATCTCAGCAGCACCTTCATTGTCATTTATCCTGCGTAAGGCAACAAAGCGATCACTCACAGCAAGGGTGTATTTCTTTCTTTTTTTTTTTTTTTTGATACTGGGGGTCAAACTCAGGACCTTGTGCTTGGGAGGCAGGCAGCAGCACCACTGAGCTAAATCCCTGGGCCAAGGGTGTATTTCTTAAAACACTCAAACTAAATAAATCTGATTCATTCTGGTTTTACTTACACAGCACAATGCAATGGACTGAAAGCATTTCCTTCCATTTTCTGGAAAACTTCTTGTTCTAAAAGAAGTTCTACACAGGTCTCATGACCTATTAGGTAAAAAAAACCCCAGGTATTAATATCCAAAAAAGATACTGGCAAAAATTGCAAATACTTGCCCCAATCTTATCTCCCAGTTACAGTGTCTAAACCTTAACCACTGTTCAGGACATTCATATATATATGACTTTTATATACACATCCACTTTCATTTTTAATGTATATGAGATGTTTTGTTCTGCGACTTGCTTTTTACATAATGAGGTGTATATATCCTTAAACAGTACGTGTAGAAATGATTTTTTTTTCTTTTCTTGGAAGAATTTTTTTTGGAAGTACTAGGAATTGAACCCAGGGGTGTTCTACTAGTGAGCTACATCCCCAGTCTGTCCGTCCACCTGACTGCTCACCCATCTCTTGGTTCATGAAGTTAATTCTTCCCACGATTCTGGTTGCAACCACAGTACCTATAGGGTTGCAATTCAGTTGCAACCAGAATCGTGGAAAGAATTAACTTCATGAACCAAGGTATCACCGTATCTACCTATCCAAACAGGGTCTTGCTGAATTTCTCAGGCTGGCCTCAAACTTGTGATCTTCCTGCATCAGTCTAGGTAGCTGGGATTATACGGGCATGCACACTGCCTGTCTAGCAATCTTACTATGTTCCAAAGAACTTCATGTTATCAGTGTATTATAAATAATTTAAAATCTCTAACTATGAGGCTATTCGTACTTTAAAAAAATCTGTGAAGATGGGCGCAGTAGTGCATACCTGTAATCTCAGATACACAGTAGAATAAAGCAGGAGAATTGTAAATTTGAGGATAGCCAATTTACCAAGACCCTGTCTCAAAATGAAAAGGGCAAGGGTGTAAGCTCAGTCGTAGAGCACTTGCTTAGTTAGCACATGCAAGGCCTTAGGTTGAATCCTTAATACTGTTGAAAAAAAAAAATAAAGATACACCTTTGTAATATCAAAAGTAATACAGTGAAATATTTGATACTTTTTTCTTTAACAGAATATTTTTTTCTTTCTGTTCTGTACTTGGGACTGAACCTGGGACTTCCCTCTGAGCTAGATCCCCAGCTTATTTTTATTTTGAAACAGTGTCTTGCTTGTTAAGTTCCCCAGGCTGGGCTTGAGCTTGTGATTTCCTGGCTCAGCCTCCCAGAGTGCTGGCATTACAGGTCCTTGCCACCATGCTTGGCTTCAGTAAGTACTTTTGTAGGACAATTTCCTAAAAATGATAGTGCTGTAGTAAAGGACAAGCATACTGACTACTGATAGGTATTAAATCCATTACATAACCACAACATTGAAAACAGAAAAAAACCCCAAATCTCAGATTTTTCTTAACGTAGTTTTCAAAATCAAGTTTAGTAAAAAGCAAACAAATAAAACCAACTGCAGCAGAGGTTGAATATCTCTTCTCCGAAATGTGTGCAGCCAGAAGTGCTTTAGATTTTAGGTTTTGGAATTTGGTTCTTTTTGTTTTTGGTACCAGGGGATCGAACTTGGGACCTTGCACTTTCAAGGCAGGCACTGGAACCACTGAACCCCTGGCCCTGGTTTTGGAATTTGGAATACTTACATAGACTTCACTGACTTAACACCCCTATCTGAAAATCCAAAATTCAAACTGCTCTAAAATCCAAAATTTAATAGGAATATTTTGAATTTCAGATACTCAACCTGGATTAGTTGCTGTAAATAAAATATTGCTTCTTTTATTCTATTAGTCACTTAGGATCTTCTTTAGCAATATGTTAGATTCTTAGTCTCTATCTTCATGATTTTTTTTTTTTTGGTACTGGGTATTAAACTTGGGACCTTGCGCTTGCGAGGCAGGCGGTGGAACCACTGAGCTAAATCCCCGGCCCTCTATCTTTATGATCTTAAAAAAGTGACAAAGTGATCCTCTATTATTAGTTATTTTAACATTCTCAAATAATAGCTCAACTTAAATTTTATCTTGTAATTGTTATCAACCAGGACAAGAAGATAATTTTCAGGAAACCTATAATTGTATGTCATCTTTATCAGATTTTTTTCTCTAATTCAGTGGCTCCCAAAAAAGACAATTATGCTCATCAGGAGGTATGTGGCAATGTCTGCAGATATTTTTGCTTATTACAACTGGGGTGGGGAAGTGCTATGGGTACATCTAGTGAGTAGAAGCCAGGGATACTAATTATCTTGGTTTTTTTTTTTTTTTTTGTACCAGGGATCGAACTCAGGTCCTTGTGCTTGCGTGGCAGGCAGTGGAACCACTGAGCTAAATCCCTAGACCTACTACTAATTATCTCACAACAAAGAATTATCTGGCTCAGAATGTTCAGGTTGAGAAATTGCTTTAATCCCATCTTTCTGAATGTTAACACATAAGAAATAGCAATGGAAAGATGTCTAATACTAATTTAAGACCTTCCCACTATCCTGACAGATGGATTCTTAAAGTGTGACCTGGGGAAACTTGGGGTGATAGTAAAATTATGTCAATACAGATGCAGATGACAATCCAATTATTCTCTTAAAACAGCCATTAAAGAAATCTTCCAACTCTTCTCATTGAAAAGTTTTGGAAGAGATCCCACTTGTTGATTGTTTGTGCTAGTTCACAAATGCAACTGAAATTTCACCAACAGTGTGAAGAGACAATCCACAATGTGGGAAAAATTTTCACCAGCTGTTCCCAGATAAAGTTCTACTATCTAGAATATATATAGAACTTAAAAAAATCAGACCTCCCAAATTTAAAGACCCAATCTGAAAATGGGCATCTGAAATGAACAGACATTTCTCAGACAAAGAAGTAGAAATAGCAAATAAACATAAGAAAAAATGTTCAACATCACTGGTCATTCAAGAGATGCAAATGAAAACATTGAGATTCCACCTCACCCCAGAAAGAATGGTGGGTATCATGAAATCAACCAATAACAAATGCTGGCGGGGCTGTGGGGAAAGAGGAACCCTGCTCCACTGCTGGTGGGAGTGCAGACTGGTGCAACCACTGTGCAAATCATCGTGGAGATACCTCAAAGAACTAAGACTGGAAGTCCCATTTGACCCAGCTATTCCCCTGCTGGGTATCTTCCCAAAAGAATTAAAAGAATCAAACCACAGTGATATATGTGCACCCATGTTCATAGCACAGTTTGTAATAGTTAAAGCTTGGAAACAGCCCAACTGCCTATCAACTAGAGACTGGATAAAGAAAATGTGCGTGTGTGTTTTTTATAAAATGGAGTACTACTCAGCCATAAAGAATGAGAAATTAGAGACATTTATAGCTAAATGGATGCACAATGAGGAAATACTCCTAAGTGAAATAAATAGTAAACGTGTAAATACCGAATAGTTTCTCTAGTGTGAGAAACTGAAAGCGTAAATAAGGACTAAAAGGTATAACAGATAATGTGAAATAGAAAGAAAAGGGGCACAGGGGAAGGGGAAGTGGGAGGGATATGGGGAAGGAAAGAAGGGAATGGAATTATTATGAGAAAATGAAAAAATGGAAACAAAGTCTTTGTAAATAGGGAGGGATGGAGGGGTTGGAGGACAGGGGAAATAGGGAAAAAAATAAGAACCAAGATAGATTATGTAAAGGTACAAATTTTCAATGATGAATGTCATTATATTGTATACCTAAAATGTACCAATAAAATTAATTTAAAAAAACGTTTTGGAAAATATTCTTCATAAAAATTACTTATATTAAATGTAATTTATTTTTAAAAATAAACATTAAAAATATCTCAGTTTCACTTTCTAATAGTCACTTTCAATAGCTATAACCCATAGACCTTGCAATCAAAGGGCTCCAGAACCACTACCTAGAGTGCAGACTGACAAAAGGGAAATTTGTGGCCCCTGGTTGTCTCCAGAAATCATTACTGGGTGATACCACACTGACAGTCTCATCACTCTGTATCATATTTATGAAACAGAGAATGATAGAACTGCTCTTATTGATATTTCAGAAGGCTATCCCGAGAATGCTTTAGAGCTGCATAAAAATCAATCTATCTGTCTGTCTGTCTGTCTGTCTGTCTATCTATCTATCTATCTATCTATCTATCTATCTATCTAATCTATGGGTACTGGGGACTGAACTCAGGGCCTCTGCACTGAGCTACACATCCCCAGCCCTCCTGCTTCACCCTGCCAGAGTGCTGAGTTTACAGGCAAGCACCACTATGACCACTTTTAAAAAAATCAATAAATTTTTCAAGGAATATATGACACAATCTAAGTATTATATATTTAAGTTGTTATTAAATGGCTGTATAAACTGAAAAATCTGAACTTTACGATCAGTATGCACAGCCAATTTTTTTTTAAAACTTGATCATCATTTTAATTTGAGAGAAAGTTGTTTTTTGTTCTGCTGGAGGGCTTCCAGTTTTCTTTCCAGCTGTACAATAATTACTAGTCAAAGTAAAACCATTTTACATATTCTACTTTGGGAATACCAAATTATAAAGCATGGTTTTGGCTATAAATACGATATTAATTTTAGACTGTCTGTATGGTTTCCTATTTCATATAACCAGCACACATTTCATTTCTTTCAGCTCCATTCTTTGTTACAGCCTGAAAATTAGACACATCTGTTGATTCATTTAAATGACAAAGCATGTAATTTGTGCAAAATTCAGTCTCTAATACCAACTGTTAAAGTGTCTAAGTTTAGGAGTAATAGAGTAAGAATAGTGTTCTACATAGACCTGATGAGAAATGTTATATACAGAGCAACTCTCTGAAGAACAGAGCAGTATATTAAAACTAAATGCTCTTCCTGATGGACAATACTGTATTTCAGTCTGATATTTTTCTCAGTGGTTATCACTGATATGTTTTTAAAAAATTAACCAATAAAAAGTCTTTGCTTTGAAATACTTCATCTCATTAACTTTTTCATAAACAAATTTAACACCGTGGATTTCCCATTATATTGGATATTTTGGGTTTTCCTCATATTCACAAAATGTTGTCACCTTATAAAAACAAATCAGATTTCAATGGCAAAATAGTGTCTTCTTTGGTTTAAGACTAATTTTTGGTCACCATGCTGTCATAATTTTCAAGATAGTTTTAGCTAAGAATATAAGGTAGCAAAACACAGATCAAACTAAGCTTTTAAATTCACAATAGATTTATATATTTAAATTTTTTTATGTTTCTAGCAGTATTTGGAGTTGAAGGATGACCAATAGTAATCACAGGGCAATCCTCAAGAGTCCTCACCACGTCTGCCTTAAAAATAACAAGAACAACAACAACAAAAGATGCCAAGTGTGGTGGTGGACACCTGGAATCCCTGCACTCAGGAGGCTGACGTGGGAGGATCGCCTCAAGTTTAAAGACAGCCTGGACTACACAGCGAGACCCTGTCTCAAAAAAAAAGAAAAAAAAAAAAAAAAAAGAAGAAACCTAAAACTTTCTCACAGCAAAAGAATGAAATTTCCAACTCTGGAGTGAGGATTAATATGAAAATTGAGATATCTTATTAAGAAATGCCTATGAAAAATTTGAATTAAAATATAATTTTGTAAGATTCAGACTTTTCTTCTTTTACTGCAGTTCAACAACATTGTCAGAATGATGCCCAGAAAAAGAACCATGAAGCAGCTGCTTACAGAAAGATAGCAAAGCTCAAGTCTCTGGTAAGGCACTCAACTGACTGCAGAACAAATGGTATCTTAAAGTACAGCTTTCTGAGTATGCTGTTATAACTAACATTAATCTTGACACCATATTGAAACTTAAAACAAATTAAAAACCTTTCATTTGACTGCTAAAACCTTAAGTCCAAACTCTGACCAGACTGATGTACATACTGTCCTGTATCTGCGTATTTTCTAAGATGATCAAATCTATGGGCTGTACAAGGAAAAAAATTAATATGCTTCAATATGTAAATTATTTTAATTGCTGACATCTCACAAACCAGACTGCATTGTTTTATTGCTCTTTTATGTTTATTTTGTTTATGTAACTGACAATACTACAACACTGCTTTAATGTTCATATAATTTCAAAGCTTCACAGCATAAAACTTAAATGTGAGTAATAGTTATTTGCTACAGAATTTGTTCATAAAAAGTTTTATATCAGATTTGGACCATGGCTCAATGTATTTTTGTTTATAAAATAATTTTCACTAGTTATAACCCCTACTGGGAATATAATGTTACTAGTTTAAAGTACACATTTGGTTTCTACGCATTAGAAGTTTATTTATAAACTTTCTTTCCAAAATGAATAATTTGGTATTGAATAGAAAGATCTGATAAAAATTCTCCACATTTATAAATTCAGTTTACCCTGCCACAACTTATATGCTGCTAAGTGAAGGTCTGTGGCTTAAAATTTTCTCACATGTATAGTCACAAAATTTCTCATGGGCATGGATTTTCATATGTTGATTAAGGTGTGCACTCTGGCTAAAGGCTTTCCCACATTCATTACATTTGTAGGGTTTCTCTCCTGTATGTGTTCTTTCATGTTGATTAAGATGAGTCCACTGGCTGAAGGCTTTCCCACAAAAACTACATTCATAAGGTTTCTCTCCAGTATGAAGTCTATGATGTTCAGTAAGAGATGGGATGTAGCTAAAGGCTTTCCCACATTGATTACATTTATAGGGCTTCTCTCCAGTATGGATTCTCAGATGCTGAGTGAAGGAAGAATGTTGTTGGAAGGCTTTCCCACATTCATTGCATATGAAAGGGTTTTCCCCTGTGTGAATTCTCTGATGTTGAATAAGATGTATTCTCTGGCTAAATCTTTTTCCACATTCATCACACTTATAGGGTTTCCCTCCTCTGAGCACTCTCTGAGGTTGGGTATGAGACAAATTGTGGCTGAAGCCCTTTCCACATTCACTGGGATTTTCTCCAGTGTGAATATGATTAGTGAGAATACGCTGATTGAAGATTTCTCCACGTTCACCATATTCATAAGGAATTTCTTATATAGTTTCCCTGGTAATAAATCAAGTCTGAATTATGTTTGATGCTATTTCCTGGTGTGTCATAATTAAGGGGTATTTTAATTGAAGGAACCCTCTGATGTATAAGGTTTGAGTTCTTTTTATAGGTCTCTTCAAATTTGTTACCTTTAATGCTTCTTCCTTGTGTAATCTTTTGGTGGATGAAAAATACTTGTCCCAAATGTCTCTGCTGGTTTTCTTGGTTAAATTCAAACTAATAATCAAAATCCCAGAGTCCTCCTAACATGGAATACCAGAAACTGTCTTCTGTTAGTCTTTCTATAATGATGTCACAGGTTTGATTTTTAATCAGAAGTATTCTTGTTTAGAGTTGATTTTTTGATTTTAGGTCCATTATCCCCATCTAGGTGAGCTCCCACGGGGTGGCCTCCTTCTCTCGTCCACAGCTCTTCCTGCTCCAGCTGAGTGATCATTGCTGGCTTATAAACCTGATGCCCCAGAGCAACCAGATTCCTGTAATTCTCCAGCATCACGTCTCGGTAGAGGTTCTTCTGAGCAGGATACAGCTGTTCCCACTCCTCTGTGGTGAAGTCCACAGCCACATGCTGGAATGCCAGGGATTCCTGAGACCTGACTCTCTGTGATCCATCATCCACTTCTCTCTCCTTTGTGTTCCCTTCCTTAGGTCACAACATTACAGGAAAAACATGGGCAAACACAGATGGTTCCTTTGGGTACCTGCATTCAGGACCCAGCAGAACGCTACATCTCTGCAGTTCCTGTGTGGCAGTGTCACCGATGCTTTGTTCTCTTCCAGCACAGCGGTTCAGTTGGAGGCGCTGCAGCACTGGCAGCCTCAGCATCTCGGTGGGTCCTTCAGAGCTGGTTTCCCAGCCTGAATGTGGCTCCTGCCCCTTGTCATTTATATAGACTTTTTTCTCTGAGACTCAAATTTGTCTCCTATCAGGGATCTCGTGAGATACAATTTTAGGTTGAATACATTTCACCTGCTTCTTTACTTTGTTTTTCCTGTGATCTAGGATCCTGCATTAAGTTAGCTCTCCTTAGTGTCCTCTAACCTGTAAGTTTTTCAAGCTTTCTGTTTTTCACGAGATCGACATGTCTAGGAAATGCTTCTGTCCCACTCGGATGTCACCAGGGACACAAGGCTCAGTGTCCACCTGGTCTTATTAAGCTGTGTATGGCACTGACTTCAAACACAATTATTATGTGTTTGAGCTCCAAGGGCATGACGTTACTAGGGGTCCCTGTGGCAGAGGCAGAGAAGCTGTGATGTCTGCCTCTGCATTCACTGACCTGGGGGCCGGGCCACCACCTCCTGCCCAGATTCCATTTTTAATACCTATACCTTAAAAATAGCTTTCTGGGCCTGGGGATTTAGCTCAGTGGCACCGCGCCTGCCTCACAAGCACAAAGGTCCTGAGTTTGATCCCTGTGTGTGTGTGTGTGTGTGTGTGTGTGTGTGTGTAATAGCTACTTCCTTGAATGATCCTTTGAGAGTCTACCTGTAAAAGGGATGAGTGTGACCGTGAGTCTCCAGGAGGCTGACAGCAAGTCTGTTCTAACCTCTAGCAAAGTTAACCTATGAAAAAGTTCTTCATATCTGCTAGGACTTTATTCCTTTAAAATATGGAGCTAAGAAAAATTTCACAGCTTAGCCATGCATGGTGGCATTCCCCTGTAATCGCAGCACGCTCCGAGGCCAAGGCAGGATGATCTCAAGTTTGAGTTCAGCCCAGGCAACTTAATGAGACCCTGTCTCAAAATGAAAAATACAAAAAAGGGCTAGGGATACAGCTCAGTGTGAAGGCCTTGGAGTCAATCCCCAGTTTAAAACGTAAAAAGGAAAAGCCAGGGATTTTAGCTCAGTGGTGCTGCCACCTGCCTCGCAAGCGCAAGGTCCTGAGTTTGATCCCTGGTACCAAAAAACCCCCAAAAAACCCAAAAACCAAAACAAAACAAAAACAAAACATAAGAAGGAAAAGAAAGAAAAGAATGAAGGAAAAGAAAAAAGTTAAAAAAAAAAAAAGATTCATGGCTCATCTCAAACACCTTCAACAACTAGCACCCTGGCTTTGACAGGACAGAGGGAATGACCTATAACTACTCTGTAGATTGTTCCTATGCATCCTCTAATCTTGAATTTTCAGTCTGCCTTATAAATACATTATTTACATTAAAATGTATTATCATTACTTTTGTCTACTCAGTACATAAGAGACATTAAATACAGGTTTTATCTATATACTTAACCGTTATAGCAAGCCCAGTGAAGTGCTGTATATCCATGATTGTCTGCTATGGCTGGATTTGCATCCACAGATGATGCTGATTGCAAAAGGGCTCCAAGAACACCGATGTGTCCACAGGCAGCTGACAAGTGTATAGGCGTCCGACCCCTGCTATCTCGTAGCAAGCACTTAGCACCATGTTGAAGTAATGCATCTATACATTCTTCATGGCCTGTAACTGCCTGAAAGAAAAATAATTTGCATGTAGTCAAATATATTTTGTTGGACACTACATACCAACTTTAGCTAATCTGAAAATTTTAAAGTCTAATAATTAAGGGCATTTATCATTTTCTGAGTAATTCAATATTTTTTTTCTGCTTCTAAAATTTTTATTTTTTATTTTTTTCCTTAAATTCTTTTATTGGTATAGTTTAGGTATACAATACATTTACATTTATCATTGGGTGCTTGTACCTGTACATGATGAATCTTGGTTCTTATTTTTCCCCATTCTCTGTGTTCCCTTCACCCCCTCTACCCTTTCCTATTTACAAAGACTTCGTTTCCATTTTTTCCTTTTCTTATAATTTTTCCTTTCCCTTCTTTCCTTTCCCCTTCCCCTCCCACTTCTCCTACCCCTTTAGACCTTTTCTTCCTATTTCAAATTATCAATTATTTGTTTTAATCCTTATTTACACTTTCAGTTTCTCACACTAGAGAAACTATTTGGTATTTACACATGTGTGTCCTATTTATTTCACTTAAGAGTATCGCCTCAATATGCATCCATTTAGCTATAAACGTCTCTAGTTTCTGTAATTCAGTATTTTTTGAAGTCATTTAAAACTTAAAGAAACAAACTGTCAAAATACAGCTAACATGAAAAACAAAAATAGAGATATCTGGGGCGGAGGATGTAGCTTAGCAGTCCAGCGCCTGCCTGCTAAGCGTGAGGCCCTGAGTTCAATTTCCAGTACCAAAAAACAAAAAAAAAACCCTCACAGATATCTGTAATTCAATGAAAATAATATTTCAAAGGTGAAAAAATTAAGATAAATTGTAAAAAAAAAAATAGTTAAGATAATGGAAAAAAGTCAAATTGGTATTAATTCTATTCAAGATTTTAGGGAATAAAAATTTTGTCCTAACATTATTGTTCTCTTGATTAGCTTCTGCATTGTAACTGTTCAAAGTTAACATTTAAAAACTAAAACAATAAAATTATTTAGCAGAAATTTAATGAAGAGTAATCATAGTCTAGTTCAGTTGTGGGTAATATGAGGTCAGAAAGCTTCCTGAAAAGAAATAGGGTGTTTTAGCTTACCCCTCTATGCAATGCTGTCCTTCCCCATTTATCTTTGGCATCTACATTTGCTCCTTTGTTTAGTAGTGAATATACACAGTCGGTGTGCCCATTGAGAACAGATAGCATCAGGGGTGTCCTGCACAACAAGAGGAACAGGGTTAGCCCTATCACTTAAGGCTAGTCTATAAATATCAATATGGAGCCTATTTTCTAAATATACCCTTTGTAGTATAAACTTTAAAATTAAAAAAAAAAACTATTATTTGATATTACTCAGTTACACACAATAACAGTCTTACTAAACTGGGGCCAAAATATGTTGATTATGAAAGACCCTAAAAGTAATTTAAAAATTGTTGGCACTTACTGCCCATTTCCATCTTGAATATCTACTGCATTCTGTGGTTCCGCATTTCCTATTAACAGCCGTAAACATTCTGAATGGCCATTTGTTGCTGTAAAGTGAAATTTTAAAATTTCAGTTAATTATATGTAATAACATAGAAAATGTCCATCTCAGAGCATATCTTCTCGAATATAATTTTAGGGCACTGTATAATATAATTTTGTGATAACTTCCCTGAATTCAATAGTAAGAAGTTTTTATTACATGTACAAAGTGGGGTTTTTTTTCCCTTTCCTACTGAGGATTGAACCCAGGACCTGCACATTGAGTTACATCCTCAGGTTTCAAATTTTTTTAAAATTTTGAGACAGAGTCTTGCTAAATTGTGAAGTTGCCCAGCCTGGGCTTAAACTTGTGGCCCTCCTACCTCAGCGTCCTGGGGTGCTGGAATTACAGGCGTGTGCCACCATACTCAGCTACAAAGTAAGTCTCTACTGAATTTGTTGTTAAAGTTGAAGAGAGGAGGAGGGCCAGGGATTTAGCTCAGTGGTTCTGCTGCCTGCCTCGCAAGTGCAAGGACCCGAGTTTGATTCCTGGTACCAAACAAAACAAAACAATGAGCTGAAGAGAGGAATTCCTCATGGCAGATCACAGCAGGCAGGCAGCCTGGCCAGCACTCATTCCCTGTCACCTGTAATACTAATAGGATTTCATTTTATTTATTGCCCAGTCAGGGAGGGCGATCTGCCTGCAGGCAAGGGATGAAATAAGCCAACCATGTTAGTCCAAGTTAGTTGCAACAACCCCATTTCTCCTTTGATTGTGATCAGCTGCAAGGTGAGTACAAGATATAGATCTGATCCTTGAGATGAGAGGTCTACAAGAGTTTTGGAAAATACTTTTAACCTAGTTTTATGAACTGGTAGTGATTCAGCAACCACTTTGTGACACAACTGCAAAGGCAAGAGAGTGAGAGACTGGCTGAGCTCTGGCATCACTGTGGAATCAAGCAATCCTGGAACCGCATCTGCCTCTAAACATTTGTGTGAGAGATTAAACCACTATCACTGTTTTCCCTCTAGACCTGGGGACTGAACCCAAGGCCTTGCACATGCCAGGCCAGTGCTCTACCATTGAGCTACTTCCCCAGGCCACCCCACTCGCCCCATCATTTAAGCCATTTTCAATTGGGTACTCCATTATTTATAGCTGAAATAATTCCAAATCATTCATATATACAATAAAAGAAAAAGGACACATCTATAAAGAATGCTTTCCTGTGCCCAAATAAAATAGAAAAGTAGAAATAGTACCCCCTCTCAATGAGAGGCTATTGTTTATTCGTTTTTAATTTTTTTTTTGGACACAGGGTCTCACTATGTATTCAAGCTGGCCTCTAACTCCTCATCTTCCTGGCTCAGCTTCCCAAATGCTAGGATTATAGGCGTCAATCACCATGCCCAGCAAAAATAGAATGCCGTTAAATTAAGTTAAATATGCAAAACTGCAATATAGTTTGAAGTTTAAAAAATCTATAAGCCACAAAATGATCCAGAAAGGAATGTCTTTCACTATTCCTAATTAAAAAGGATGAAAAAATAAGTGAAAGAAGGGTAGGTGCCTAATATTCTACAGTAGTTTCTGACAGCTATATTAAGTTCTAACAGTTACTAAGAGCAGTGGCTCAAAATCACTACTCCTGCTCCCAATCTGTGTGCTGCATTCTGTCAGCAGCTCTCTTAGCAATAACAGCATCATAATATTTGGGGACTGCTTGAATATTATGGGTCGGTATTTCTAATGGAGTCTTATTACTCAGTGCACAGTAGCTACTGATGAGTGTTCATGTGATCTAAGCTCAATACCCAGAACATCAAGCACAGAGTCACCGTGGGAAAAGTGGTTAAGTTTCAGGGTTCGTTTCATGACTTATGAGTAGTAAGATGCTTCCTAGCAGATCTCTGAATCTGAAGGGATACGTAGAACCAAGGCTTGCATTTATCTATAGCTCTTCTGTGGGTAGGACTTATGCTGGACTATATGGCAGTGCCTTAACTCAGTACTTATCTACTAAGAATGCAAAGCCTCCATTTAAAAGTTCAAATTAGCTCTGTAAATGACCTGTAGTTACAATATAATCTAAGTATAGACTGATATATTAATTCACCCTTTTCCATACTAAAAAGCAGTTATTTTGACCTTGTATGTGACATTTTTTATGTATAAATTTATTAGGGGCTTAAAATAATTATGAAAATATTTATCCCTGAGCTCTGCCGGAATATCTCATAATTTTGAAAGGCTGATTTGGGAGACAGGCATGGTGTTACCTTATTTTTCTAAAATTTAAGTTTCCCAAAGGACCACAAATAAAATTCAAGTCATATATTTGAATGTATTTGTAAAGATCACTATTTTCAAAGTTTTTTTTTTTTTTTTTGTACTGGGGATCGAACTCAGGACCTTGCACTTGTGAGGCAGGCAGCGGAACCACTGAGCTAAATCCCCAGCCCAAATTCTTTTTTTTTTTGGTACCAGGGATTGAACTCAGGACTTTGTGCTTGCGAGGCAGGCAGCAGAACCACTGAGCTAAATGCCTGGGCCTCCTAAAGATCACTCTAAACAGACTAGTGAAATGACTCTAATCCCATAAAGATAGCTTATTGAAGATATAAAAAATACTAGGCTAACAGATTTCTTCAAGTATACTAGTCTTATTATCTAATTATTGCTATGTAGCAATTATAGAGAGTTGTGAAATCTGCAGCTTGTAGTTGATATGGACCTAGTACCAAGTCTTTCAACAACTTAGGTACAGATCTTTGTTTTTTTACACACCTGCAATATCACCAGATTACAACACAGTGTAGTTCTTGCATAAAGTAGGTGCTCTATATATTTTGTCTGATTAAATGTTTAATAAAGTACACTGATAAAGTAAACATTTTATCAATAGTTAAATGAAAGCATACACTAATCTAAAACTTTCTCCAGCAAAAAGTAAAAACTATTGCGCTCTTTTGTGATAAGTATTTCAGAAATTAGACTATTACATAAATCTAATTTCTTTTCTTTTTTTTTGGTACCAGGGATTGAACTCGAGTCCTTGCACTTGCATAAATCTAGTGTCTAAGGCAGATAATATTTTGAAGTGATTGTGGTCTTGATGGTGGTTTTCCCCTAACAATACAATCATTTGAGGACTTACAGTAAAAAATTTAAAGATAACTACCAGGAGTATTATATATCAGAAGTTTAAAAAGAACATTAGATAGAAAGTGGTAAATAAGAATATTTGGCATACCTGCTGCATGTATAGGTGTTCTCTTCAAAATGTAATCTTTTACTAAGATTGAGGCTCCCTGATTAATGAGTACATCCACACATTCAACATGGCCCTTAAATGCTGCAAGATCTAAGGGTGTTCTTCCACTACTGTTTCTTACATCAAGATCTAACAAAGACTGTACCAACACTTCCAGGGCTTGGTGGTGACCGTGATATGCCTAGGAGAAAAAAAAAAACATACTTACTTACTCTTCAACTATTTTCTTTCTTTTCTGTGTGGTGTAGATTCAACCTAGGACCTCATGCATGCCAGGCAAGTGTTCTACCAATAAGCTACATCCCTGGCCCCCAGATACTTAACTTATACACTGAGAATTCAGAAAGTTAACTATACATTTTTCTAATAATCAACATAGCAAGCTACAGTATTATGGAACAGGTATTCTGCAAATACTAATGTTCAAATGGGAGGTGATAATTTCATGAGTATACAATGCCTGATTCAGGGCAGTCAATGGTGTATGTCATGGATTCATGTATGATTCCAAAGCCTGTGTTCTTAATCACATTTAAGTGTTCCACATTTTTTAACTCTATGAATTTTATTATATTTTAATCACAAGGATAACTGTGTTAACTTGAGTTAGTAGCTGAGTCTTTGCCATACAATAATGTGCCAGCACTCAAAAATAAACATTCCTTTCAGCACAAAAGTACCTAAAACCTTTTCAAAACATTTACCATGTGCCAGGCATTCTTCTACCTGTATAAGAGCAAGATGTTGTTAGGTTTAGATCTAAAATGGCCCCCAAAGCCTCATGTGTTTGATTATGGGGATGGGATGGTATAGTTGGCTTGCTATTGGGAGGTGGGGTCACTCTAGGCATGGCCACAAAGTGGGCATGGCCTGGAAAGGTTGATCTCCCTCTCCGGATCCTTCCTCTCTCTATGCTTCCTTTATGCCATGCCATCCTGCCTTGGAGTCAGCTGACTGAACTAAAATGTGAGCCAAAATAAACCCTTCCTCCTTTAAGTTGCTGGTGTTGGGTATTGTGTCTCAGTGACGAGGAAAGTAACTATGACAGATGTGAAGATTTATTTTTGTTTTTGGTACCGGGGATTGAACTTGAGTCCTTGTGCTTGCGCAGCAGGGGGCGAAACCACTGATCTAAATCCCTAGCCCAGATGTGAAGATTTATCAGGTAGAGCCTCTTCTTTACACGGTATTCATTTCAAAATAATTCAGATAATTCATTTCAAAAACCAAAATGTAAATGGAACATGTATCATCATCATCATCATCATCATCATCATCATCATCATCATAATCATCATCATTTTTTGAGTGTGGTACTGGGGAATGAACACAGGGCCTTTGCAACGAGCTACAACTCCAGTTCTTTTTTTAACTTTTATTTTGAGACAAGCTCTTGCTAAGCCATTAAGTTGCACATAATGGGCTCAACTTCGTAATGCTCCTGACTTGGTCTCCCAGAGTGCTGGGATTGTAGGTGTGCTTTACCATGCCTGGCTTGGACATATATTATTTACACTTCACTGGACACTGAGCAGGACATAAGGTAATAATAGTTTCAAAGGACAAATAAAGTTATTTCTTGTGGGAAATATCAGAAAGTACCAACAAGAGATACAAGTTACTCTGGGCCTTAGTGATGTCTACAATGCACCTGTGATTGAAGTTTGACTACCTTACAGATTAAAGTGACTACAGATCACAAAACTCTTTCTAGAATCAGATCTGCTTTTGGTCAGACTTAGCAGCTCAATGAAATTAAACTAAAAGAATAAATTTTGAGAAACTAAAAAATTTGAGAAAAAAAGAAAAAGTTTTGAGAAACTAAACTTTGAGAAACCCTACTGAAAATGCAGAAGACAGTATAAAAAGAAAACAAGGTAAGTAGGAGCCATGATACTTTGTCACAGGGCTCTTCCTTTCATCAATGTTCTTTTCCAAGACTGAGGAAAGGAGGCAGTACATCCAGTACAAGCAAAGCTTCCTTAAGCTTCAAGCCAGTGTTGTTCACCGCACCAAGTTGTCCTGAATGGGAGAGTTTAAACCCAAAAACTATTTCAAATAATTTCTGAAAATCTCTTAGGATAAGAAATGAAATGCAAAAGCAGTAGTATAACCACATTTCATTGAGCCTAATGACTAAATTATAAAAGTTTCCATTTCAGCTTAAAAACACTATCCAGTACATCCATGTTTATAGCAGTATTTATTCAGATAACCAAGAAATGGAAGCAACTGTGTCTAGACCAGTAAAATGTGGAAATCAGGCACATGCCTGTAATTCCAGCTACTTAGGAGGCTGAGGAGTTCAAGGCTACTTAGGAGGATCATTGAGTTCAAGGCCAGCCAGGGCAACTTAGCAAGACCCTGTCTCAAAGCAAAAATAAAAAAGGATGGGGATATAATCAGTGGTACTTGCTTAGCATGTGTGAGGCCCTAGGTTCACTCCCTAGTACAGCTAACAAAACAAAACAAAAAGCCACCCTCCAAAATTGCCCCCCAGTATGGTGTATGTGTGTGTATGCACATGCACACACAATGGGATACTGCTCAGCTTTAAAAATGAAGGAATATCTGACACACGCTACAAAACAGATGAACCTTGAGGACAGTACATTAAGAGAAATAAGCCAGCCACAAAAAGAGAAATATTGTATGGTTCCACTTAAATGAGGTATATAGATTAAAGTCAGAGTCTACTAGAGGGAGGGAGAAATAGGCAGCTGTTGTTTAATGAGTAGAAAATTTTACTTCTGCAAGCTGCAAGAGGAAAAAGCTCTGGCTTGAAGGGAGAATGGGATAAAATAAAATAAAATTTATTTTAAGAAGAAGAGGAAAAAGCTCTGGAGATTGGTTGTACAACAATGTGAATATATTTAACAGTACTGAACTGTACATTAAAAAATGGCTAAAGTGGCACCTTGTTTTGGAGACAAGGACTCACTATATAGTTTAGACAGGTCTTGAACTCATTATGTAGAACAGACTACCTTAGCCTCTTGAGTGCTGAAATGACAAGTGTGCACCACCACACCCAGCATAATACTTCTCATAATTTTTTTAAACTGCCACAAAAAAACTTTGACATAAACAATGTGTATGTGTGAGACAAAGAGAAAGAGACAGAAAGAGAGAGACAGAGAGAGGGTCTGACTTTACTATTCAATTGGAACACATTATTAAAGTGCAGTACAAAAGGAGAAACTTGTTAAACTGGACAGAGAGTGAGAAGGAACATACAAATGTGAAATTCTTAAAGAAGTAACACCATTAAGCTATAAGAGTCCTACACATTACAGGACATTTGGGACCCTTTAATATGCTGATAATTTGTTGTATTTTGACAAAGGAAAGGAGAAATAGTCTGGCATTCAACAAGTGATTAAGAAATGACTACTATTGTTACTGTGAGAATGGTGATGATGATGCAAGAATTGCCTAGTGATCTGCTCAGAGTTCATTTCTTGCCACCAACAGTAAAATGCCTATTTTCTCTGAACAGGCTCGGCCCATTCAGACTTCTTATTTATTATGCAAGTCTGATAGAGGTAATAGTGTTTCCTAAGTCTCAAAGGATGAGAAAGCAAAAAATTCTGGCTTGTCTTCCTAGTTATGTAGATCATGACAGGAAGTGGTCTGGGGAAAGAGCAGAGAAAGAAAATTCAGTGCGTGTCAGTGTCAGAACATATACAAGGAGAACATTAAGGTGAAAAAATAAGAGTACGTGTGAAAAGAAACAAATAGATCACTGAATTTATGTTGATTCCCATTAAATTGAGTACACACCCCTAGAAGCACTGTACTAACATCAGAGCTCTCACAAACCAGCTGGAGACAGTGTCCTGCTCTCCTGATTCTTAAAGTCCCCACCCAACCAACTAAAACATGCTTTGTTTAAAAAATATTTTTCAGTATAGAATGAGTTGGATTGGGTTCTACTTATAATTACCTAAGGCAATTCCCATATTTGATCTAAAGAGTTGTCACACTCTCCCTTAACCTCTTCTTAGTGACTGATGTTGAAGGAAAATTCAGAGGAGTGTAAAGTGAGAGGGACATTTGAGATCATGTAGCCAAATCCTAAACCATGAATAACTGAAGTTGCACTGAACACACAAGTAGTTATCGTACCAAGATCACAAAGGAGGGAAAAAATTGTCAAAATACTACAGAATTCGTGTGTGTATACTATCTGCGTAGGCACTGAGGACTTCTTCCACCAGGGCAGCGCATTTGACAATTCCTGTCACAGGCATATAGAGTGGGCCCCAGGGCGGCCCAAGGACTACCATTTAAAAAAAATAAAGCAAAGGCAGAAAACAAAAACTTAGCGAACTAAAGAATTCTTTGGATTAAAAAAGTTAAGTTTTAACTGTACTGTAACTACTACACTTGCACCAAAAGTTCAGGGTACTACTATGAATTAACACAAACAGATACCAGGTATTTTCATCAAACAAGACATCAAGCTGGCTGAAAAGGCAGTACTCACAGCCAAGTGTAAAGGGCTTATTGTTGCTCTGCCGTCCGTATCATTTAGCATGTCTGTCCCCGAAGTTTCCATTAACTAAAAAAGAAGAATCATTTTAAATATCAGAAATGGTACTTACATATACTATAGCAGTTACTCCTTCTACTCCCCAGTTCAAATCTGTTTTAGAGTATAAGTCAGCAACTTATGGAAAAGGATCGCAAAAGTGTGATGAGGACCACAGACAAAAGCTTTGAAGAAGGGTATACAGAGTTTGGAGAAATATGGACCACCACCAGCCCCGCCGCATAATATCTGCCACTGTCTTTGCTTTCAGGGATATATGAAAACAATTCTGGCTTCAGTTCTAATGAGAACAAAGAAATATAATATTCTGAATGAGAAGGAGGAACTGACAAATACTTACAACATCTAAAGGAGTTTCACTTGCAATCTGAAATAAAGATTAAAACAAAAATAGTTAGCTTAGGAAGTATTCATATATATTAAGTTTACTTACATAAGGTTTTTTTTTTTTTTTTTTGGTACTGGGGATCGAACTCGGGTCCTTGTGCTTGTGAGGCAGGTGGCGGAACCACTGAGCTAAATAAATCCCCAGCCCTACACAAGGTTTTGTTAAATTCTTTTCTAAATCCATGTTTCCTCTGCCTCCAAAAACATTCTTTTAAACAAGCAATTATAGGGCCGGGGATTTAGCTCAGTGGTTTTGCTGCCTGTTGTGCAAGTGCAAGGACCCAAGTTCGATTCCCAGTACCAAAAAAAAATTTAAATAAATAAATAAACAAGCAATTATATGACATAATAGACAACAAATCTATATACATAGGTTTAGATTGTCTAAAGATCCATTATAACCTAAGAAAATATATGATATAGCTGGGTGCAGTGGTGCATGCCTATAATCCCAGATATTTAGGATGCTGAGGCAGGAGGATCACATATTTGAGACCAGCCTGGTCAACTTCGAAACTGTTTCAAAATGAAAAGTAAAAAAGGGACTGGGGACGTAGCTCACTGGTAGAGAGCTTGCCTACCATGCATGGACAAGGTCCTATGTCCAATCTCCTATGCCACTAAAACAAAACAACAGCAACAAAAAAATTATTTTTATAGCAGGCATTCCAAATGCTGTATTCAATAGATACTGGTATAGCTAATCTCTTTTTTCTATCTTTTCTGCCTGTTCTTGAATTTTATTTGTTTCATGGGAAGCAAAATTTAATGCAATTTATAATATAAGCTATATAAGGGAACCTTCAACCTGAAGTCTGTTACACTGGAGTATATTTTAATTTGTCCCTTAGTTTCCTCCTGGTTTGGCAAAGTGGGGTGAATGGTACACTTATTCAAGGAAAAGACCACAGTTGAAATAAAAAGGACCTTTGCAGAAGTAGAATATCTTTTATTAGGAAGTGTTATGAAATAAAAAGGCCTTTCAGAATTTCCTAAATACACGAGAAAACTTTATTCTCACAAGGGCTTTTATTCTTCCTTTTTTTTTGGTACTGGGGACGAACTCGGGACCTTGCACTTGTGAGGCAGGCAGCAGCACCACTGAGCTAAATCCCTGGCCCAAGGGCTTTTATTCTTATAAAGACATGGTTATAGTTGTTTTTTATTTTTAAAGAAACTTACGAAAAACATTTATAGTGGCGTAAGAAGTAAATGCTATAGTCAGAGCCATGGAGTAATATAAAGATGCAAATAGCCTCTTCAGAGATTTATTTATTTCTGTTATTTACTAGACTGGGTCTTGTATGTTGCTCAGGCTGGCCCTGAATTCCTGGCTCCAACTATCCTGCCTCAGCTTCCCAAGGTGTTGCGACTATAGGAGCATGCCTTCATGCCTAGCTCCTCCCCAGAGTTTTAATTTTATTCTTTTTTGAAAAAGAAAAATGGTATATTACTAAGTCCAAATATATTTAGGAGGTATATGGATTCTGAAAAGTGTTAAACAGTAAAGCAATATATTTCTTTAACCATTTATTCTTATTTCATTACATTACTAGACTACAAAACTTACATTAGTCCTTTAATAAGAATTCAGGAATCTTACCAGCTGAAGACACAGTCGGTGACCATAAGCAGCTGAATAATGAACTGCATTGTATCCTTGCTTATCCCGGATCCCTGGATTTGCATCATTTCTTAATAAATATTCCAGGCACCTATACATAGTAACAACATACTGAAAATTTGAAATCCTGAATTTTAATCAATGATAAAAAATTAAAAACTGACAATTTTCTTATATTTGAGTAATACATAAGACACTAAAAAATCTGTCATTTAAATGAAGTATCATGAATGCCCTAAGAGAATAGTCATAAGAAAATCTCCTTCCTTCAATGTGGATAACTCTGAAGTCCATCAGAAGAGTTAGCATACTTGAAAGCTCCTTCTTAAACAGCTACTATCTATGGCACCACCTACTCCAAGACTCAACCCATGTCCGATAGGACTGAACTCTTAGTGGTGATAAGCAAACAATGCTGACATTATTTCTTCTTTTATCTTACAGAACAAAAATATAATTTCTCATCAGTAAGGGCCCTCAAGAAATCAAGGCCAATGCTTCCCAAACTATTATACAGATTTAATGCAATTCCAATCAAAACACTAGTAGCATATTTCATGTACCTAGAAAAAACAATCCTAAAATTCTTTTTTTTTTTCAGGACACAGTCCAGTTTATTTATTTTTCCTCTTCTCTCTGAACACAGTAAGCCTGAGTAATTCCCTTTCAAACTGGCCATTCCCTTTTCACTTGTACAAGGCTCTTCCTTTCTGAGCTGTGAACAGACCACCTTTTCAGGTATAAATTAGGCCACCACCTCAGACACATAAAGATTATTTTACTAACGGTGGGCCATCTCGCCCACTCACCACACCAAGAACAAGCCTATAGATTATCAAATTCCACAGATTTTCACTGCCAAAATACATAAATATTCCTAGTTCCAAACTGTAATGGACCTCACTTCTCTGAGAGGCCACTGTGTCTCATCTCTCTAAGTGCCGGCACTTCACTCTTGAGTGTGTCCTAAAATCTTTGCTTAATCCCTTTGCTTCTTCTCCCCCCCCATTAACTTTATTGGTATATTTTAGGTATAAAATACAGTTACATTCATCATTGGGATCTTGTACCATTACATGAGTCTCTTGGTTCTTATTATTTTTATTTTTGATACCGGAGATCGAACTCGGGTCCTTGCACTTGTGCAGCAGGTGGCGAAACCACTGAGCTAAATCCCTGGCCCCTTAGTTCTTATTTTTCTCCCCTTCCCCTGCCCTCCCTTCACCCCCCTCCACCCTTCCCTATTTGCAAAGACTTTGTTTCCATTTTTTTCCTTTTCTCATATTTTTTCTTTTCCCTTCTTTCTTTTCCCCTACCCCTCCCACTTGCCCTGCTCCTTTAGACCTTCCCCTTGCTTCTTACTGAAAATTTTTTTCCCTTGATGGAAGTCAGCAAACCTGAAAACTTGTTCTACAGAAGAATGAGGTAAATTCCTTATTTCAGCTTTAGAAACTTCTTAGAGCTGGCCCGGTTACAGTAATATCTCCCCACCGCCCCCACATCTATATATTGTATCTTGACCAAGGCAAACAAGTCTTGGTGGACTTCTAAGTTCTTCATGGAGATAAATTAATAGTATCTACTAATTGCTTGGAAGAAGTTTCTTTATACAATCCTAAAATTCATTTGGAACCAAGCAGACCTAGAAGAGCAGAAGCAGTTCTGGGCAACAAAGGCAAGGCAGGAAGCATCACAAACCCTGACTTGAAATTATACTACAAATCTACTGGGATAAAAACAGCATGGTACTGGAAAAACAAAAACAAAAACAGATCCGAGGATCAATGACACAGATTAGAAGATGCAGAAACAGTTCCAGACAAACTCAACTATTTTATCTTTGACAAAGTGGCCTAACTAACACCTTCACCAGAAGAAAGATAGCCTCTTTAATAAATGGTGCTGGGAAAACTGGCTTCCCAATGCTGAAGTTAAAACGTAGACCTATCTCTCACCATGCACTTAACTAAAATAAAAATGGATCAAAGATCTAAATATTCCACTACCTGTCCTCCAAGTGCAAGGACCCAAGTTCGATCCCCGGCATTAAAAAAAAAAAAAAGATCTAAATATAAAAACAGAAACAATCTAGGCTGGGGATTTAGATCAGTGGTTCCACCATCTGCCTTGCAAGCACAAGGTCCTGAGTTTGATCCCCAGTACCAAAACCCCCACAAAAAACAAAAAACCCAAAAACCCCAGAAACAATCTGTTGGAAGATAGACTAGGTAAAGCTCTTGAAATCACAGGGGTAAGCAAAGACTTTATGAACAAAACCCCTGACTACATAGGAAATGCTATAAAGAATAAAAAACTGGAGTCACATGTTGAAAAGCTTTTGCAGGCAAGGACTTCAGTTTTGATCCCCGGTACCAAAAAAAAGCTTTTGCCGGGCCAGGGATTTAGCTCAGTGGTTTTGCCGCCTGCTATGCAAGCACAAGGACCCAAGTTTGATCCCTGGTACCAAAAAAAGCGCTTTTGCATAGCAAAAGAAACCATAAACAGAGTGAAGAGACAACTCACAGAATGGGGAAAAAAATTTTTTTTTTACCAGCTACTCCTCAGACAAAGTACTAATATCTAGAATATATAAAAAACTCAAAAAAAATCAGATGCCCTCAAATTTAAAGACCCAATCCAAAAATGGGCATCTGAAATGAATAGATACCTTGCAGATGAAAAAGTACAAACAGCAAATAAATACATGAAAAATGTTCAACATCCCTGGTCATTCGAGAAATTAAAATTAAAACAACACTGAGATTCCATCTTGCTCCAGAAAGAATGGCTGCTATCATGAAATCAACCAATAACAAATGCTGGCGGGGCTGTGGCGAAAAGGACCCCTTTCTCCACTGTTGGTGGGAGTGTAGACTGGTGCAACCACTATGGAAATCTGTATGGAAATTCCTCAAAAAACTTTAACTAGAAGTTCCATTTGATCCAGCTATTCCCTTTCTGTTATCTTCCCAAAAAGAGTTAAAAGCATCATACCACAGTGATATACGCACATCCATGTTTACAGCAACAATTTGTTTTGTTTTTTTTTTTGGTAACGGGGATTGAACTTGGGACCTTGTGCTTTGCGAGGTAGGCGGCGGAACCACTGAGCTAAATCCCCGGCCCAGCAGCAACACAGTTTTTAACAGTTAAATCTTGGAAACTGCCCAGATGCCCATCAACAGATGAATGGATAAAGAGAATGTGGTTTTTATATACAGTGGAGTACAATACTGCAACCATAAAGATGGTTAAACTTGAGACATTTTTAGGTACATGGATCCACCTTGAGAACATATAAGTGAAATAAATCAGATACACTTTAAAAATTGCACTGCTTCTTTTGTGTGTGACTCAAGGGGTAAAGAAGGATCAAAATGAATGAGATATTGGAAAGTAGGAAGAAAATGTTCAAATGGGAAGGGAAACAAGGGAAGGGAGAGGGAAAGGGAAGGGAGGGAATAGGGATTAAAAAAGAATGGAAGAAAAACAATAGAAATAATTTTTTTTTTTTGTAGAAATAAATTTTTCTAAGGGGAGAACGGAAGGATTGAAGGAAAGGGAGGGGAGTAAGAAAAAAAAGAATTAAGATATACTGAATTAGAGCATTGCGAAGTATAGAAACTGAAAATTATAAGGTGCTAAGAATGGACTACTCATAGAGATACTTCATTTTTATGCTATTAAAACATAAAGAAAATAATTTTTAAAAAGCAGTGTAAGGGTTACAATTGGTTATAATTTTAACAAATATTGTTACTCTAGTGAAAAGGCACTAAATTTGAAATTAAAAGATTTGTTTCTAGAGATAGATTGGTATCAGTGATTTGACAAACTATTCTACCATAAAGGCTCTAAACTGGGTATGGTGGTATATTATACAGAGCTAAAATCCTCGGAATATCACCAAGGAATAAGGAATACCATTAAGACTAGTATTCTTGAAGTTTCATGTACTAGCTCTGAGAGCACCTTCGAATGAGGAAATGTTTCAGGTAATGTGTAATCTGTTTGTACATATTCTTCCTAGGTATCTAATTCAGAGGTTACTGTTCACTAAAATATAGAGGTCCACAGGTCTGTAGGCAGTCACATTACTTTATAGATATTTCACCCAAATGCATTAAAAATGTAATTCCAACTGAGTTCTCTAGATATAAACAATCAAACAAATGGTTTTCCCTTATTGAGACTTGAGTATAAGACAGATTCAATCAGTGGAACAAACTATTTAAAAAATAACTACTGATATATGAATACTGAAGAAAAGATTTATTAAAAGGAAAGGAAAACCACTAAGCTCATGTTTACTTTCTAAAGTAGGAGAATACATCCTAATGCTTTATTTACAGTGACTACTTTCAGGTTTCTATCACTAAATTGTTCAAATAATTTAATTGTTATACATGCAGTAGTTTTTTTTTTTGGTACCGGGGATCAAACTTGGGTCCTTGTGCTTATGCAGCAGGCGGCGAAACCACTGAGCTAAATCCCCGGCCTACATGCAGTAGTTTTTAACAAATTACATTATCTAATTTTTAACATTCACAAATTACTCAAATAGTAGGGATTACATTTCAAAATATAAACTAAACTGACCTGTATTAAAAATTCCTTTTATTGACATGTTTTTTATATTTTGGTAAAAATAGGAATTTTCATAATTACTTTATTAGATACAGAATAAGTATTATCTTTACCAAAAAAAATTACTGACATAAAGCAAAGTCTGTATGTCACCCCTGGACACCTTGGGCCAAGTTAACTGTTTTGTCCCAAATCTTTTGGCAAGAGTGAGGTAAAGCAAGGACTAGATCTCTGAGCTTACATTCTTCATAGTTCTTGAAAATCTGGACTATGATTTTAATTTGCAGGTAAGAGGGGGGAGACAGTCCATGTACTGTGACTTTTTCCCTGATAGTAAATTAATATATACTTATTTTGTAAAGCTAGGACAATTAAGAAATGAAAATTATGTATATCTTGGGCCAGGGATTTAGCTCAGTGGTTTCGCCACCTGCTGTGCAGGCCCAAGGACCGGAGTTTGATCCCCGGTACTAAAACCCCCCCAAAAACAAAAATAAATTATGT